ATGGTTGGGAGAGATGTGACAACAACTTCACTATCTCACCATCTTGGGCGTATGCCCGCCTCACATCATCATACAACGTTGTAGATGGGACTGAGGACGTCATAACCGCAACAGTGGCTGTCTCACTGTTGGGTTTCGCGACTGTTTCAAAGTCGGGACGACGTGAGAGTGCATCAGCGACGACATTAAGTCGTCCTGGTTTGTACTCGACCGTAAAGTTGTATTTCGCAAAGAATGACAACCACCGCGCCATTAGTTGTGAAAGGTGCGGGCTGTTCACTGCCGTGCGTAATGACGCATGGTCAGTGTAAACAACGAAGGGTCTATCTCCTAATAGATAGATTCTGAACTTCGCGAGTGCATACTTCATGGCAAGGAGTTCCTTGTCATGCACTGGATAGTTCCGCTCAGCTGGTTGCAGCTGACGCGACTGATAGCAGACGACGCGTTCAACGCCTTCAAGGTCGTACTGCATTAATGCACAGCCGATTGCGAAATCGCTGGCATCACAGACCACATGAAATGGCCTGTCCTGATCGGCTATTGCTAGGACTGGGGATTGTATCAAGCTCTGCTTGATACCCTCAAAGGAGCGTTGACATTCAGCGTTCCATAACCACCTCTCGTTCTTTTTCAACAAACGAGAGAGGTGTACAGTCATCTCGGCGTAATTGCGTGAATACTTGTGCAAATACGCCGCTAGCCCAAGGAATTTTCGAAGACCTTTGACATCGACCGGCACAGGCCAGTCGGTGATCGCCTTGATCTTTTCGGGATCAGGACGTACACCGTTCTTACCAACGATGCACCCAAGAAGTGGTATTTCGCTTGCTGCAAATATACACTTCTTGAGGTTTGCATACAATTGATGCTTTCGCATGATTGTAAGAACTTGTCGGACGTGGTACCTGTGAACCTCAACGTCCGACTTTCCATCCATAGCCCGACTATGAATGAATCCGTCATCGAAATAACTCGGCGCGAATTCTCGTACTGGTCTCAATAGATGTGATACACATCTGTTGAACGTGGCTGGGGCATTACTATGCCCTTGTGGCATTACTAGCCATTCCCAGAGCATGCCGCTAGGCGTGCTCACTGCGGGATAGGGTATATCCCGTTCCCGCATTAGGATTTGATAGAAGCCATCCATCAAATCCATGGACGAAAAGATGGTACTCTTTGACATACCATCAATGATTACGTCCTTCCTTGGTATCGGCGTCTGAGCCGGTACCGTTGCAGCATTCAACTTGTTAAATGCATGCACAATCCGCCACCCTCCTGTTGCTTTTCGCACACAGAAGGTCGGAGAGCTATGTGGGGAAGTTGATTCCCTCACATGGCCCGCAGCTAAACGATCGGCAAAGAACTTGTCGATCGCAAGTACTTGTTCACGAGGCAGTGGCCACTGCTTCATGACACAGTACTTCGAGCCTGGTTTAAGCTCGACTTCGTGTCGAATACCTTTATCCTTCGGTAATTCGCACGGAACAGTTTCAGGGAATACATCCTTGAATTCAACCAAATCTTCATAGAGAGGATTTTCCTTGAGCGATTCCCATGATTGGGACTCATATCGCTCAATTCGTGTCTTTTCATCTAGGGCACTCTCGTCCATAGATGAACTACTGAGAACTCTCTCGTTCTCAGTAAACACTGTTGCTGACCTTATGTCGGTTACATACTCGTCGTCAGCGACGAGTACGCAGATCTGCTTGACTTTGCCACTACGCAGATCACGCAAGAACCTTTTATGTTCGAGCGTTGGCAACTGAGTGATCTCCGAAGTCAACTTCGGAGGCGCAATCAGATCAAGTGTATAAGCGCCTACACTTGATCCGTTATTGACTATGACATTCAATGTCTCTGTCATTTCCTGGGGACTTATTCCCTCAGGCCTCGAAGGACTTATTCCTTCGTCTTCCCGGGGAATTATTCCCGCGGGTTTCGGGGAACTTATTTCCGCCGTATTTGTAATCTTGGGACTTATTCCCTTAACTTCCTCTAGCTGGAATTGCGCAACCACAGCGAGATCCTCTACGAAAGACTCTCCAGTCGATCTAGGATTATCGTTTCGCTTAACCTGAGCGATCGATTGTTTCTCTTCTAGATGTTCCCCGCTAGGGATACATCTTTGTCCCGGTCCACTCGACTTATTCGAGTGGTGGACCTTCGGCGCAGCCTGTGTTTCCTCACAGCCGCCGGAACTTTGCTCCGAAGTATAACCGTTTGTTACACTAAGGTTTTGTGCAGTCGTACTAACGACCGTACCACAAGTGAGGCCATCGCACTCACTTGTAGTACATCCACACGCTTGTGGACGCTCCAAAACGCTCATCAGATGGCCATCTGATGAATAAGTGGCAGGCATCGTTACTGTTCGATGTTGCCAGTTTACCCGTGGTTCGTACCTTCTGAGCCACGGTATTCCAAGGATGACATCAAATTTGTCATCCAAATCCAATACGATAAAGTCATCGTCATATTGGGTATCTTCTAGCGTATAGTGGATCTTCACTATACGCTTCATGATGGTTACGGATGCGCCTGTCGCAAGACGTACCGTCATCCTCGTAGGAGGTGTGTCACATTCACTGAACGTAAAGTGACCATCTTCTAGCGATTGGCGTCGCACAAAATTGTTGGACGCCCCACAATCGACTAGAGCTCGAAGGGACAACTTATTCGTCACTTCGAGTTTTAAGGTAATGAGTGAGACCTCATTACCTAGAGCAGCAACGCACAATGATTGTGTGCTGGGAGCAACCTTCGTCAAGAGGCCTGCAAATTATCTTGACGTTGCTGGACCAGTAGGGTGCTCCGCACCTACTGATCCTGTCCGTTTTTTACGGTCCATCCCGTTGTTGCGTCTTTGCACCAACTGCGGACCCTCGTCCCTGCCCCTTTCTCATGGGTGGACGGTCATTACGCTCAGTGTTGCGAGACACTGGACGAGGGGAACTACACTCGTAAGCGTAGTGTCCTGTCTTCTGACATCTGTTGCATCTCTGCAACTTCTTGTAGTCTGTAGAGCGAGCCTTCTCGCTCTCTACATAACAGAGTTCCATCGGCTCTGGACCTCCGCTGTCATATCGTCTCGTTTGACGATATGATGTCGAGCTGGCGCGAGCCTGTCTCAGACTGAAGTCTCCTGTTCCGCAATGGAAATGGCTTGTTCTAGTGAATCTAGTTCAAGCCGGAACAGGTGAGTCTTGACGGGACCATCCGCAATACCCTGCATGAACACCGAAACCAACGTGTGTTCATCCACCGGATTGGAACTTATACAACTCGTGAGATGTCGTATATGTTGTGCGTAAGCGTGCACATCACGCTTACCTTGTTTGAGCTTCAAGAGTTCGGTTCGAGCCCTGAACTCAGCTCTAGGCGGTTCAAACGTTTGTCTGAGCCGCGACTTGAAGACTTCCAACGACCCAAACGCATATATGCCGTGCCACTTGAGCCCCAGTGCCCAAGTCTTGGCACGTCCTGCCAGATTTGACTGGGCAAATGCAACTTGCATTTCCCCATCGTCGATGCGACGCGCCCTTATAGCGTCATCCAATTCGACGAACCATCTCAAGAGTGAGTCCTCTTCGACTCCCCTATACTTGGAGATGTCAATCTTCAAGGTTTCGGGTCGACGCGAATGCATCGACCCACCAGCAGCAGCCTGCTGCTGTCTCAACAGTTCAAACTGTTGAACACCCTGTTCTCTCAACAACTCTGCTTGTTGAGAACCTTGTTGGTGAAGCAAGGCTACTTTCTCGCGTTCAGCGTCAAGTTCATTTTGAATGAACTTGGCGATAGTAGCATGTTGGGCATCTCTATTGAGAGCCTCTAGCAGGACACTAACAGCATGGATGCCCATGGTTGAACCCATCCGTTCAATCGCATCCCATTCGACATCGCTCAAATGGGAGTAGCCGTCACTCGTAGCGTGAAAGCTTTGGTCATCTTCATCATCCAACATATTCATGTTAGATGTGAACGTGGTCCTTGGACGGACTACGAAGTGCTACCAGGTGTAACGGGGCACCCTGAAGCTTGTACTGGTGACAGTACAAGCTACTTATTTTGATGACAGAATAAGGCGGTGCCGCGTAACTTCACGTACACTCGTACGTGCAGAGGAAGACGGTAAGAAGAAGCGAGTACTTGGTTAAGTAAAAAGTAGAACTGTATTTATCATAGTTAATGTCTGCAATAAATCACTATTTATCTTCATCTAACTATGTCCAAATACAAATGTGCATATCAACTATCTGCTCACCACTCATTGCGTGCGTCTGTCGTGGCACGTCTTCGTTGGTTGATATAATGGCCTATATCAACCAATTAGGAACTACTCGTAAGTGCTACAGAATATTTGTCCTTATGACAATATTCTGAGAATATAACTCTTATAGTTATATTCTATTAACAATTTCTTATAAATTGTTATGTAACGATTCACCCCTTTACGTGCGCCCTCTATTTCCACCACACAGACGTTCTTCGGAACGTGTACATGCGGTTTTCAAACGGCCAAGAGCGCATCGCCGATGAGACTAGAGAAAAAAAGAAGGCGAAATCGCAGCAAGTGAAAGCCTGGCTAGTAATACATGGTCGGGAGAGGGGGCTAACTTTGCAGTGAGCGAGGCGAGATAGTCAGTAAGTAGATAGCCGGAAGTCTGCCGATTACTGCGCGCCTGTCGACAACAGATGGGGACTCTCTCTGGCGTCAGCGAGTGTTGCGTGGTTGTGGACTGCCGTGTTTCGTGCCCTGTGTCGACACAGCAACTGTGTGAGGATCGACTTGCACTCGGTATGGAAAGACTAGGAAGGAAGAAGGGCGTGATCGTCGATCGTCCTCTTGTCTCAATTCTTGTCCTTGTCGTTTGGCGTAACAATTCCACAGCATCGACCTGTTGTCCTTTGGACTTGAGACCTCCGTGCACATTATCAACCGTCACTTTCGCTTTTGCCACGCACCAAACGCACTGGGAAACTCCACGATGCGCGTGCAATACCTCTGTCTCGCTCTCTTCGCGGCTCTCTACTCGACGCACAGCGCTGCAGTCTCGCTGGGGCAGGACGGACCCACTGAGCACCGCCTTCTACGTGCGGAAGCGCCGAACGCCAGTGGAGGTCAAGAGGGGGCAGACAACGGCATGGGCGAGGAAAGGGCTCTTTTCCAGGCCTTTGAAGGCTTTGGTGCGAGAATTGGGAAAACGATCGGAAAGGTGCGACCCAAGAGCGATGAGCAGTCGAAGATACTGAAGGCGGCTTTAAAACGGGAGCAAGCGGAAAAGGACTTTTATGAGGCCAAGGTCGCTGAAAATAGAAAGTCTTTCGCATCGGCTCTGACGCCATACACCCAGCGAGACGATGCTCTCGATGCTGTGATGAAGTTGGAGAAATGGTTGCCGCCAAAAGTTCTTGCTGATAAGAATACTTACCGTCAGTGGGTGAAGAACGTCGCGACAAAACTCAAAGATGACGAAGCAGCAAGAAAGGCAGCTGTGGAAGCAGCAAATGAGGCTGCTGAGAAAGCAGCAAAAGAGGCTGCTGCGAAAGCGCATTAAAAACACCGCATAGTGATTGAACAGTTCCTGGTCAGCTTGGGCAACCAGACCACGGAGGGTGATGTGTATGCCTACCAATTGGGTGGACTTGTTGTGGCACTGGGGGAAGTCGAGAGGTTGGCTGCAAAGGGCGATCTGGATCTGGTACGATGACACGATGCCAATGCACCTGTCGGGAAGTCAGCCAAGGCGCCGGGCATCGATTCACTGAATTTCATGACGAACTAGTAGTGCGCGGATACTGTCGGAGAAGGAACCTGGCGATGCAGTTCTTCGCAACTCTTAGTGGTAACATACATATTTTGAATAGCATCGGTCTCTTTGCTGTGCAAGCCGTCGTTGTGTTACTTTGTTTTGGTGTGCAGTCATGGTCTCAGTGGTGCTGAAGTTGAGGAGAATGGACACGGTAGCCTTGTGCCCCCACCGGTCGGCGTCATTGTGGCTGTGGTCGATTGTAGCAGGAGCTCGTGGTGCAGCACAGTTGTCCTCTACTATCTCAAACGCTCGAGAGTAAAGCCACTGTTCCGAACAGAGCAATGTCGGAGCTCTAGTTGTCATGCTACTTGGCATTTTCATGTCCAGGCAAAATGGTCTACACATAGACGCGTAAAATCCCGACCGCAGCTCTCAACAACAAGCAGCCCAGCCTCAAATGCTACACACTCAATATCACGCCACTACAAAGGACCGGCGAAGCGCCATTGTGCTCAGAAGTTAAGAGCCGATCGAGCAATAGAACACAGCGACTTAAGGAATGACCAGCAAACACTGTCATCTGCTCAAGCTGGCTGCTTCTGATTGTGCGCAAGTCGAACACGCATGACACGGAAGAAGTGGTTGTAGCTTAGGCCGGACCATCGTGGACCGATCAGTTTCCGCACCAATTGGGCAGTATTGCAACGAGAGCCGACGTCAAGTGGTCGTGCACATCAATGAGCTTTCATCCACGACACGATCTCGGTCATGACAACCGAGTAGTACACCTGTTTCGCCAATCAAATTTCCACTGCTCTCTTGACAATGACAGCGCTCATTTCCTCTGACAAGTGCTGCAGAGCATCATTGACAAAACGTCCTGCTACTGCTAGTAGCTTGGTTTATGATCGAAACGGTGCAGGCTACCTTCGCGTGACGTATAGAGCTACTGATAGACGTTTACGTAGAGCTCATTTCCAGTTGAACTCGATCGGCTTCAACGATCCACGATAGTTACCGCTACTCGCTTTCTGTGGCTTTACCATGTCGTTAGTAAGCTGCATGAAGGGCAAGTTTGGTCTGGGCGGCTTTCTTGCAGCATGGCCGCATTGGCTAATTCGCCTCAGCAGGAGTCAGCGTGTGATTTCGTGGCATCCTGCAATCGGTTTCTCTTCACGATGAGCTCTGACTGCAATTCGCGTCACTCACCTTTGACTGTATCAATCAAATCGTTGTTGTCGACTTCTCACGAGCATCTGCGTAAATTCGTCATCTTTCGTCCTAGTGACCGTTTCCATGTGTGATAGTTTGCGAACTGCAATCAGTTCCTATCCAGACGCAGAGCAAAGTGTACTAAAAGTCGCCGACACGTGTAGAATGTCGACTACGCGTCCTCATTGACCGCCATCTGTCGGATTGACATTGAGAGCTCGGTCACGCTATCACGCGTACCGTCAAATCGAGACTTCAGCACATTCGTTTTATGGCTTTAATGTCGTATAGTCACTTCATGCACTTTGACAAACGCAAGTTTTTTGACAAACAGACGCGGAGACCGACTCATGTCCGTCGTACGAAAGCAGTGTGACACCCGCTCAATGATGGTCCATTCACTCAAGCGAACGGTTTTGCTTGTTCGTGATACTAATCGACGAATAAATGCGGCAATCAAACAAACAGTACTCGTGGAGTTCACCATCCAACGCAACAATGTCACGTCTTTGCCGTGCATTCACGTTAGATAGAGCGCAGACGATGAAGTCCAACGACTCTCTACTTCGCGCTGTATGAACAGTTGAGCACACCTTTTTCACACCCGTTTTCGTACAACGAAGGCCGACGGATGCCGATGGTTGTCCGGGTGAGAAGTACGCTTGGTAGATTGTGCGTATTCGGATCTAGTACAGACAACATCATCGTTAAGCTCGCCGAAGTGCCAGATAAGGCGCAAACGTCTACATCGCGTTATGTTTGATGTGCTTCGCTTCGCGCTAAGAACGTAACCTGATTCCCGAGTCGGGACTTACAAGCTCAAAGCAACATGAACGTTCATCAGTTAGCGCAAACGGGGACGAAATACAACGACGTCTATAACGCCGTTGCTGACATGAGTTTCCGAGCTAGCTGGTATGTCGTGAGTACATGCGGTGGAGCATTCGCTACGTAGATGCGCCGCGAAACCATCTCGTATTCTCCATATATACACGCTTCACGTGCAACAGAAGTCCAAACAATGCTGTAAATGGTCTCACCTTTCGAGGATTTTAGTCCAGCTTGACAGTTGCCTCCGACGTCGCAGACGTTCCATCGTGTGATGTAATGTCACAAGCTTGCTCCAGGCTTCATTCACATCGTGCTTTTAAATGAAACCACAGTGGTGCACAACGAGATGTTCCGGACAATGACAACAATCGAGCTCGCTCGTGTTGTCGACAGAAATACGCAAGGTGCAAGGATATGATGTGTGAGACTCTGATCAGCTACAACAAGATGATGCTAGATCAGGACTAAGCAGGTAGATTCTTGACTTGTGCAGCAAGTACCGCAGGAAAGTCAAGAAGGTGAACTAAACTCATTAGGACCCCTCTGCATCTGTCTGCCATCTGATAAGCGCGGAGACAACATCTACGTCACCTGATAACAAAGTCGCCTCTAACTGCATGATATGCAGCTAGACTGTAACGCTGTGCCACGTTCTCTCGTCGTTTCTATTGGTGTCGAGGCAGGTTTACCTTCCACTTATCACACAACGAATGGAGATGCCGATGATATGGACCATTAAAAGACCCCCTTTTTCAGAATGCCTGTGTTTCTCACGACAGAAGGCATATCCTTGTTAATCCCGCGGGTCTTCATACAGGTCCGGAACATGCAGCGTATGTCATCCACGTGTGCAGCAGCTGTCGCCCAAATCTACTCGTAAAACTTCACTGACTTTCAAGCCTGCTGCTGCTACCTTTGCGTGCCTCCATCCTACAAGGACTGAAACAAACATCGGTTTCACTTGAATTTGAGTTCATTTTATTCCAGAAAACAGGCTGCACGGCAGACTGCAGTGCCGAATAATGCAGCGAGAGGTCGACATCCGAAGTGCACGCACATCAGCGTCTTCCCATCGGGACACGAAACAGGCAACGACCTAAACGCGTTCTTGTATGTCGAGACAAACGATTGCAGTGCTGCTTTTAACATTTTACAAAAAGCAGTATCCTTTGCTCGTAGGATAGGGGTAGCAGTGTTTTCAACCACAGCTTTTTTTAATAAAGTGTAAACATTGCATGCAGCAAGCAGCCAAGCACGACCGGCATGTTCTTTCGATCAATTCTAACAGTCTGTATCCATCTCGACCGAGTGTTCTCCATTCAGCTTGCATCCAATTTTAGCCACTAAAACTCATTCATCCTCTGACGTCGCATTGTGCGAAAAGTAATAGGACTTCTAAATTAATAAACCGACGATAATCGGCATGCAAGCCGAGCAAAAAGTCGCTCCAGGCCAAGAGTGCAAGCTCTTGGATGGCGAATTCGCCGCACTGCTCCAAGTGCTGCTGGGCCTCATCGCTCTCTCTGTGCTCATCCTCAAGCGCTTGCGTGAAGTCCCTCGACGCCCGTTGCTCGTGTGGGCGCTCGACGCGTCCAAGCAGATGATTGGCGCGACGTTTGCACATGTCGCAAATTTAGGGATTGCGCTGCTCCTGTATTCGCACCAGCAATCAATCGACAAGGCTGAGGGCGAGCTTGTGGACCAATGTGCACTGTATTTTGTGAATTTCACGCTCGACACGACGTTTGGCGTGGTGCTCAACTACTTGTTGCTCTCGGCGCTTGCGCTCGTGGCGCTTCGCTGGAGCTGGTCGGCTCTGCAGACAAGTGGAGACTATGGCACGCCGGTGCAAGGGCGGACGTGGCTCTTGCAAGTACTGTCGTGGATTGCGGTCATTTTCACGTGCAAGATGGTGATTGCAGCAGTGATATTGGCGTTCCAGAAACCTCTTGGGGCCTTGGCCGTGCTGCTGTTTAAGCCACTCGAGAAGTATCCGGACGTTGAGCTGGTGCTCGTCATGATCGCCTGTCCTTGTCTGATGAACGCCATGCAATTTTGGATCCAAGACAGTTTCCTGAAAAAGGATGTGCGTGACGAGAGCGTTGTCGTGGCTCAGGCAGCGCAGTCGCCTCCCGACCGTTTAGACGGCGGGTCGAGCAAGTTGCCGGCTATAGACACACCCGCGAACGAGCAGTGCAGTGGACCTGGAAAAAGCGAGCTGGAACTTGCTGTTGTTGAGCAGGTTGACAAGCAAGAAGCAGAGTCGGAGACGACGAAGGAGTCAGCTTGATCAGTCTCATCCCTTTGCCAAGCATGCTCTGACTAATTTAGTACGTACACCTTCAATGGAATAGCAGCACGCCATGTCGTTCTCTACGTACATACGTTCATTCAACTTCTAGAATCGCAGCCATCACTGTCGTCGTCCTTTGATCGCTTTACCTATTGCGCCGCATTAGCATGACGGCTACAGCGCCCAGACCCACTAGTGTTGCTGCTCCGCCAGCAATAATATTGCTCGTGAGAGAAAAGTTGTGGTAGTTGCCAGCGCCTCGACGGTTCATACGACGGGACTTCTTGCTCTTCCGCCGTACAATCTCCTCGTCCGAACTGCTTTCGTTGCTGCTGCCCTCACGCGATGACATTTCGTCCACCTTGGTGAGCGACTGATTGCGCGGCTTGGAACCAGCCGTGTTCGCTTCACTGGCAGCCGCACTCGCAGCTGAGCTGACGACGCTTCCGTTGCCGTCATTGTTGCCGTCGTGTTGCTGACGCTGTACTACATCCACCTCCATCACCAAACGCTTCCACCCCGCGCGCTGAGCCATGTGCACAGCTTCTACGAGACTTTCATCCGACGTCAGCAGCGCTAGATCCCCCTCGTCGTCTTTGTACTTGAGACGCAGCGCCTCATTGTTATCAAGACCCATCTTGAATCGAATTTGATCCAAAAGTGGGCCAATTGAATTGAACTGGCACATGATGCGATGAAAATGGCCCATCGATCCGTCACTGATCTTAAAGACGAACGTATTTTCGTCCGTCGCCTTCTGCATCAGAACACTAGTCGTCGTGGTGTTGGCACCGCTAACAACAGAGACGCTCTCGCCCAATTCTGCATACGCCCCCAGCGAATTCGAATACCGGCCGGCTCCATTAACACCCACAGCACTAGCCGTTGGGGTCGAGATGCTACCTCCGGCATTAAACTCGTCACGTTCAAACTCTTCGATTGTACCCACCGAACGAGCATCGTCGTTCACTCCACCGTACGCACCTCCCGCTACTTCTTCTTGCAGGTTCATTGCAGTCTGCCAGAACTGCCTCCAGTCGCCGTTCGATGTACCACCAGATGTGGTCTGAAACTGGCCGTAGCTCAGACATATGACGTCAGCCATACCCAGGATCTCGCCATCGTCTGCCAGCACGGGCATAAACAGCTGGCGGGCATCATGCAGAGAGCGTAAGCCTTCTACTATGCTGACATCGGGCCCCATTAGATCAGGATCCACTGTCATTACTTCTTCCACGGTAGTAGTTTCCGCATATAGACCCTTGGCCACGAGCTTTCGCAGCAGATCCTTGGTTGTCACCATACCGCACAGCTCCTGCTCATCGTTCAGAACAATCGCAGCTTTCTTCGTATTAGCCATCAGCTTTGCTGCGCGTGCAGCTGTGGTGTGAATATTCACCACTGGCGGCATGATTTCGCCGTCAAGGGCGTCTCCTACGGTAGGCCGCACCATTTTATCTATCATGGGTCCGAGCAGTCGCTGCAAGTTTGACCCAGTACCAAGGTCCCGCGAAAATTCAGATGCTGCCGCCTCTGTCGACTGCTGTACCTTCTCGAGACACGTAATGGCATCGTATAAACACTTCGAGATGTCCAGCATACCTTGCGGTGTGCCATTCGATCCGAGGACGGGCAAGTGCTTAAACCGACCCTCTAGCATTTTTGTAATAGCCTCGATGGCCTGGTCCTCCATGTATACACAAGAAGGCTTCGTGGTCATCACCGACGCTACAGAGCAACTCTCTGGATCCAGATCTTCCGCCAACACGCGGCGCGTGATGTCAGTATCCGTCAAAATACCACGGAGCTCGCCCTCCTCCGTCGTCACTACAACCGCCTCTACACGAGCTTGCCGCATACGTTTTGCAGCCTCAGCCACAGTGATGAACTCGTTGATGCGAGTCACCTCCTGAGGACGCAGCATCGACACAGGACGCATCGCGCCTTCCGGCTCAGGGACATGGTCCATCATAGAAGAATGGTGGCTTTCCGTGTACCTACCAGGACGCCGGCGCGAGATTCGCGAGCCCGTCATACTAGCAAGCTCACTAAAGCTATCTTCGTCGTAATCGAGGGCTAGCGACAAGTCCCAAAATGCACGCCAATCCAAGTCTCGATCGACAGTCGTGCCACATTCAGCCGCTGCACCACTTGCAAAAGTGCCGTAGCACAAGGACAGCACATCCAGCATGCCTACAATTGTAGATGTCTCACTGTTGACAACCGGCAAGTGTAGAAAATTGTGCTCGTACATAATATGCAATGCTTCAACAAGCTTTGTCTTCGGCGGAGCCGTCTCCGGATCAGGTGTCATGACCTCACCTACTGTAGTCTCCGCAGCATCTAAACCAGCTCCGGTTACCCGCAGCAACAGATCCTTTGGCGTAAACACGCCCAGCACTTTTCTTGTGAGTGCTGAGGTGCCAATATCATAACTTCCGGCGCTGATCGATGAGCGCTGACCCCCGCTCACAGAAGAGCTGTTATCACATGTCGGGTCTTCCACAATAAGTGCAGCCTTACGGGATGCAGCCATCTGACGCGCCACTTCCATCACTGTATCATGTTTGCTTACAAGAGGAGGAAGCGTCTCGTCTTCCAGAATGGAGTCCACCGTTGGTGAAAGCAGCTTCTCTACCATAGGGCCTACGAGCTGCTTCAGCGCACCCTGGCCGGAACCGATGCCAGTAGCTTGTAACTGCTTATCAAGACGTTGCCGGAGCGAGCCGCTTGACAGCTGCTGTACCTTTTCGATACGCGTAATAGCGTCGTAAAGACACTTCTGAATGCGAAGCATACCCGCGACCATACCGGACTCGTCTACAACAGGGAGGTGACGGAACTTACCCTCGAGCATTATGAACATAGCATCCATGGCGCTATCGCGCTCGTCAACAAACTTCGGATTGGGGGTCATGACATCCAGCACACTCACATAAAACGGGTCGTTGCCCAAAGCCACTACACGTCGAGTGACATCGGTATCCGTCAGGATACCGAGAAGTACGCCGTCCTGCCCGATAATTAGTGCAGCGTCCGTTTGCGTGATACTCATCTCTTTGGCAGCGTCAGTAACTGAGACTGTCTCCGAAATTGTAATCGCCTTCGACGGCCGCAGCTTCGACACAGGGCGCACGTTTCCCGTTGCTAAAACCGTCTGTCGCCCTTTTTGGCTAAAGCTACTTGTGCTTGGTGCAATGCTGCGCGAGAATCCGCTACGAAAACTGTGCTGCGACGACAGATCGTCGTCAGTCGCCTCAAATGAAGCATTCCAGAATGATTTCCACTCACTGGGCTTTCCCTTTGCAAATGAACCATAGCTCAGGGAAAGCACGTCGATAAGACCAATGGGCGTTTTGTCACCCCCGGATTGCATCACAGCTAAGTACAACGTCTTGTTGTCGTGCATCGTGTGCATAGCATCAATCACTGAGGTTGCTCCAGTAATGGTCACATCCTTATCCACCATCACTTCGCACACAGGCGTCGTATAGACGGGCAAGCCACGAGCGAGCACTTTTTCCAGCAATTCTTTAGGCGTGAAAATACCACAGAACTGGCCACGATTATTTATGATCAGAGCCCCCTTCCTGGTGACAGCCATTTGCTTCGACACGTCATACACAGATGTGTAAAGCTGTACGCGCGGAGGATCAATGCCTTCTTCATCAACCAGCGTTTTTATGTCCGGCACAAACATCTTGTTCACCATGGAGCCAAGAAGTTGGGACACTCCTCCAGTACGAGCACCTCCATTAGCGCGGCTCATCATCTCCTTCTCTAGCGTTTGACGCAACGCCGTGGATGACTGCTCTGACTTCTCCATCTTCCGAATAGCATCGTACAAACACTTGGCAATGCTTACAATACCCACAACAGGGCCGCCGCGCTCGACAACCGGCAGATGACGGAACTTGCCTTCCAGCATGGTAATTAGTGCATCAACAGCAGGGTCATCCATTGACACAAACACAGGGTTTCGAGTCATTACATCACCCACCAGCGTTGAGCCTAACGGCCGATTTTCTGACACGACCCGGCGCGTCAGATCCGTGTCTGTAATAATTCCACTCAGCGTTCCGTCTTCCGACACCACCAGCACGCAGTCCATCTTGTTGCGCCCCATAGTCCGTGATAGCTCCGCAACAGTTGTCGACTCTAGTACAGTTAGCACCTTAGTAGGCCGTAGCTTCGCCACAGTACGGCTCTTTTCCTCACGTTCGGCCCTCGACATCAACGTGGTACGCTCTCGGCCGCCTGCTTCCGACGGAAGAGATGGCTGATCCAGTTCCAGCGTCGTATTCCAGAACTCTTGCATTTGCTCGCGGTTCTCACCGTAGATTGCATCGATCGTGCCGTAGCTGAGATCAAGTACGTCAACCATACCAACAAGCTCGTTCGATTCATCCTTCAGAACAGGCAGGTTAAGTATGCGGGAATCGTGCATAATGTGCAGGCCATCCAACACAGACGTCAAAGGCGTGGCAATCTCAGGGTCATTCAGCATCACTTCTTCCACATACGTGGCTGAAGCCTTTAGCCCCTTAGCAATAACGTTAAGGGCCAGCTCGTTTGGAGAAAAAATACCAATCAGCTTATCAAAATTGATATCGTCGACAATAAGCGCCGCCTTTTTTGTCGAAGCCATTGCCTTCACCACGTCACTGACAAGAGACGACTTCGGAAAACGTGGAGCTGGCATCGAACCATTCCGGGTTTCGTTGTCAATGATTGAACTCAATGTGGGTGCCGACAGCTTTTCCAGCATCGGGGCAAGCAGGTGCTGAAGAGTTGAAGACTTACCACTTTTCTCTAGTGATGCCTTCAACTGATCCGTCGAGTTCATAGCGTGTTCGAGGCGCTTAGAGACATCGTAAATGCACTTGCCGATGTTCAAGACACCAGCAATATTGCCGTTGTCCACAACGGGCAAGTGGCGAAAATGCCCCTCCTGCATCGACAGCAGGGCGTCAATCGCACTGTCGTTTGGCGATACATACTTGATATCTCTCGTCATCACGTTACATATTGGAATCTCCTCTGGAATTAGATTCAGTGCCAGCACACGGCGACAGATATCCGTGTCGGTAAGAATACCATTCAAACCTCCACCTTCGTCGATAACAAGCACAGCGTCCGTTCGTTTTTGCTTCATTAACAACGCAGCTTCGAATACAGAAGCGACCTCATCAATAGTGACGGCGGGGAGAGGGCGCAGACTGGACACCGGGCGGACGCTCACGCCTTTGTCGCGGTCTTTCTGTTGCCGAACCTTGCTAGCAACAGACAAAGTGGACATCGACCTGCCCGATGTCATCGAGGTAGTCTCATCATCGTGATAATCAAATGCAGCGTTTAAAAGTTTGCCAATCTCGCGAGACTCACCGAAAGTTGCAAAGCTAATAGATAGCACATCAGCAACACCCATAATTTCGCCCGAATCCGAGGATACCACCGGCAAATTAAGAAACTTTCCATCGTGCATGATATGGAAGGCGTCCAGCACCGAGGTATCAGGTGCTGCCGACTCCGGGTTAGGAGTCATCACATCACTGACTGGAGTAGTGTTAACGTCCAGATCCTCCGCAATCACGCGAAGCAGCAAGTCTTTCGGGGTAAATATTCCGATAAGGTTCTGTACTTCCGGGTTAGAAGACACCACCAGAGCTGGTCTTTTGGTCTCCGCCATGTACGCCGTTGCCTCATAAACCGTCATATTTCCATACACAAGCGGTGGCATCGCCTCACCTGGCGCTGACAGCACATCACGAAGCGTAGGAGATAGCATTTTCTCAAGCATTCCACGCAGCATGACGTTGTCCCCCTTTGCTCCAAGCTCTTGCTGTAGTGAGGCTGACATGTTCTCAGCCCGGCGAATCGCATCGTGTAAGCATTTTGCCACGTTGAGAACTCCAACGATACTACCACTTTGAGAACTAATTACTGGTAAATGGCGGAACTTTCCGCTCAGCATTGTATCCATGGCATCAACCGCACTATCCTCTAGGCTGACGCAACTGGGGTTCGGTGTCATTACTGAAGCAACAGTGGCTCGAGCGGGATCCAAGCCCTTCGACACTACACGCTGTGCAGCATCAGTGTCAGAGAAAATACCAGTTAAAGCTCCTTCCCAGTTAGTCACGAGAATAGCGGCGGCACGGTGAGACTTCATCATTCTTGCCGCCTCCAACACAGTCGAATCTTCACGAACTGTGATCGCTTTAGCCGGACGAAGGCGGGCAACCGTACGCGACGGATCTGCCATCGGCAACGACTTCTTCGATTTTGACGATGTCGACATCATTGACGATTGTGACCTAGCATAAGAATGTCCGGACGTTGTCGAGCTATTTGAACCCGATCGCCCGCGACGCTCAAACGGTAGCTGTTTACTCGAAGGCACCACCGGGGTCATAGTTTTCGACTCCCATCGAACATTCGGAGCAGGTCCGTTATAAATCGCAGGAGGGCGTCTCGATATCGCACTGGATGCAGTGATAGTTTCTTTAGGGGCTATGGAGCGACTTGCTGGTGCATCAACGGCTGAATGTTCTTGAGGCAGTTGTGGTGAAGGCGATATGAGGGCGCAAGCCAGTGGAGCTGGAGCTGCATGTGATGCATGTGCTGATACTTGAAGACTCTCGGAAGTAGACCTCTTCTCACCAGGCAACGCAGCGGGCGAAGAGCCCGGCGCGAACAAAACTGGCTCACGCGTGGACGGGATGCCACCACGATCAATGTTGGATGGAGGAGCTAGTGTAGCAGGCTGTGGTTCGGGCGAAGGCATCTTGTTCTTCGGAGAAGGTGGTGTAGCTGAGTCCGTTGGTGGTGCACGCTTTTGCGGAGACGATAACGGGGTAGATGCTTTTAGAGCAGCAGGAAACTTGGCTCTTTTCTTCTTCACAGCATCAATATCTTTTTGAAGCTGGGCGCACTTGTCAAACTGCTTCTGCTGCAGCGAGTTGCCAAGTTCTTCATTTAGCTTCTTGATCTCAGCATCTAGTTCTTCAAGTGTGTGCTTCTTTTTCCGAGCACACACCAGGGCGTCTAAGCTGACCTGCAAGTCGCTACACTTGCCATAATCACGCGCCAGTAACGCCTCAGCAATAAGAGTTTCCGTAGCACAAATACGCTCATCAAGCTCCTCCGCATCCAACTCATTCAGGTCTTCTTTGACGTTCTTTCGAGCTTCTTGCAGCACCTCGAGTTTCTTCTGAAATTCCGCGCACAGACCGAACTGCTTCGACATTGCAGCCGCTTCCATATCCTTGGTTAGCTTCAGAATTTCGGCATCAATTTCCCTCGCAGTGCGAACCTTCTTTCGGGCCTCCAAGACCTTTTCAAGATCTAACTGCAAATTTGCACACAGCTCGAACTGTTTGTTCACCGCGGCGTCTTCAATGGCCTTTTCCATCGATGCAATCTTCACGTCCAGCTCCTTGGGATCCATATCGACAAACGGATGCAGCATATCCCGCTTACGCACCAAATACCCACGCGCGATCTTCTGTATAACTGTCGCTTTTTGAGTTCGCGCACGATACTCTGCCAGCATGCGTTGATATTTGCGCATAGCTACGCGTCTTCGAAGAGTATGCATCACGCGGTATGCACTACGACGGAGCAATTGCAGACGCTTTTTCGCGATAAACTGACGGGCTCTCGTCTGAATCCTGGTAACGGCTTCTACTCTCGCTATATTGCGAACCCATTTTTGAATGGCACGAGCGGCAGATTTGCACCGTAGCATTTCCAGCTTGCGCAATTTGGAGGCCATGGCCCGCTTTAAAAAGACTTTTGTTTTACCCAGTTGCCACTCTTCCTTGCCAGCACCCAGCATGGACGAAATCGCTTCGACAAGCTCCTTTATATTTTCAGCATCGGGTGCAAGAGATTGGTAATCGTAAAAGAAAACATCGTGGTCCTCGCGAAGAGCGAAACCGCGCTGGCGGATCTGAATCGCCTCCATCATACCAGAGTATTTCAACTGACGTGTGCAATCCGCGCCATTAAGCTCGTTTGGGCGCTTGGCTTCGTTCGGCTTAATGCAACGCACATACCGAGGATTCGCCAGCGATATCTTATTCATGAGCTCTTGCAACTGATACCGGAACTGGGCACTGACAGACACTTCACGAATATTCCGTGATTTATTTCCCGGCTGGCTACTCCTGCTCTTCATCTCACTCGGTCGGCGTGAAGTTGAGTGTTGCTGCTGTGGTTTGTTACCCGGGATAGCCTCGATCGACTGCATGTTAAGATCAAAGATCCCACGCAGCCAGTCGCTCCCGGATTGCCGAATGAGCTCTTTCATGTCGTCGTTTAACGTCTCGTTGTTCTTGTCGTTGAAGCCGCTGGCGTCGTAAATCACCTCACCAGCATAGTGCTTAATACCGAAGTGTAAGTCTGCGTCCATCTTTGGGTGCACATAGAACTTGTTCTTACCGCTCGAGTGCCCACTGGACGTACGACCGAAAGAGTTGTGCAAATTCGACACAAACTTTTTGTTCGCTTCTTCTCCCTTCAAACGCCAGTTGTCATCCAGCGAGATAAAAATGCCCGGCTTGCCGCTAACCTTGCTTTCGATCAAATCCAAACACTCCTGGTTATCCTCGAAATCAATATGCTTCCAGTCGATCCCCTCTTTGGCGTAATCGTTCTGCTCGACCTCCAGCATATGCTGGTTAAAGTGTCGCTGGAGTTTCTCGTTGGCGTAGTTGATACACAGTTGTTCAAACGTGTTCCACTCAAACTTTTCGAACCCATAGATATCCAGCACCCCAATAAAGCCCCACTTGTCCTGATTGCGCGAGATCGTGCGGTTTAGCTCGGAGACGAGCCATAGAAAAAGCGACGAGTAGATACCCTTTGCCAGCGCATCACGCTTGTCACGCACCTGATCCGAATGCTGCTGCTGCACAATGACTTTGCCCCCTACATAAAGTTGACGGGTAAGCAGCGCCTTGGACAGCGCATCTTCGCTTACTTTTAGCAACGACGCCACGAGCTTCAGCCCATCGGCCGAGTCGTCGCCGACAGCCACGCACGTGTCGTTTTCCATTGCGAATTGCAAGTTACCGAGCTGCAACACTGCCACAAGCAGTTGAAACACCATCTCCTGACGGTCTCCCGTGATGCCAATCGTCTCCATGCATCGCTTCGTTGTGATAAACTCCTTGGCGTCGTCACACGAGTGAATATGGAAGCACTCGCTCTTCCGAAGGTACTCGTAATCGTGGGGCGTCTGCAGCTGCAGTCGTTCCCGGAGTGCATTGTCCGCTCCCGCTAGCAGCTGGTAAAAGATATGATAGTTCCGCTCGCCCAGACTCTGCGACACAATGCGTGTCTTTTCCAGCAAAAAGTTCAAGATCTGGGCCCCGACAATCTTGCCGTGATGGTTAAACTGGATCTCGATAAACTTGCCAAAGCGACTCGAGTTGTCGTTCCGCAGCGTCTTGGCATTGCCAAACGACTCAAGCAGCGGATTGCTCTCGAGCACGCGTTCCTCCAGCTTGCCAAGCGCTCCCGACATGCCACTCACTGTAGCTGTCGAAGTTAATGGTACGACAGATCCCACAACAGCCGACGACATGGCAGCTACTGTCTCTCCGTCCGACATCTTCCGGTAGCTCGTCGCGCGCGCCAAGTACTGCATAATGATCTTGGTCGTCTCGGTCTTGCCCGACCCGCTCTCGCCGCTGATAATGATGCTCTGATTGGCTGGATTCAGTGCCCCGCCCTGGATCAGCTGCGTGTACGCGTGATCGGCCAGTGCAAACACATGGGGCGGCAACACGCCCATGGCTTTGCCGTAGTACTCCGTCATCTTGCCCTCGCTGTACGCGGCTTCGAGCTGCTTGTACGGGTTGATCGCAATGAGGATCGAGCCCACGTACGTGTAGATGAGCTCGTGCTCGTACCGCTTGCGGAGGTTCGCCAGCAGCGACTGCTCCGAGAGGTCCGACATCTGGAGAATGTCTTCGAACGTGGTGGCCGCGCCGGCGCTCATGGCGGCGTGGTCGTCGTCTGCGAGCTTCTTCTTCATCTTGGCGCGCAGCAGCCGCTCTTTGCGCGTGGTGCCTCCGCCGCTGCGCTGCATCGCACAGGATGGGGGAGCGACGTGGGCGTCAAGTGGAGAGGGAGTGCGCACTGCGCAATCGGGAGCCGATTTGCGTGTGACTGACCAATACGAGACGTGTGGGGCCGTGGCATAAAACCTTGGTCACAACGAGTCGACTGCAACCCCTGGAGTTAAGGACCATCGAGAGCAGATGGGCTGGTGGGGACACAGAAAGGCGAAAATGGACATGGGGCAATGGGAACCGCAATTGGAAATAGGGAGAGAAGGGTCGGGATGTTGCAGTTTTGCTGGTGTGATGGTAGTTGCAGGGAGTACAATGCTTGGGGTTGTGATGGCTCGAGCTTGTTTATTGTCACTAAACCAAGGTGCAACGAACGGCAGCGTGAGGTTTTATGTCTGTATCGGTAAAAGAAGATACGCGCTGGACTTACCGCATGGTCCAAGCGCCATGACCTGCCTATAACGATATAGGTACACGTCGGCTTTTTCACAAACCTTGACTTGCGGGATCGGGTCGTATCCACTTTACAGAGATACGCTCAAAACTATAGATGGTGCCTCTCCCGCTCTCTGTTGCCTATCAGCTTTTGTCACATCCCGGACTTTCACGCTCTTTCACTGCAAACAGAATTTGTGCAAGTAAAAAATTAGGTAATCAATCAAGAAAAAGTGGCAAAACTGGAGTAAAAGAGAGAGGAACTCCGATCTTAAGCCTGCAATGTGGCAGGCGATACCCACGACGCAACGAAAAACAAACGTCTCGCAACAAACGAAGCATTCATTACGTTGCGACGACAACGAAAGATGCACATTCGTCACGTCTTTTGCCCTCAGCTTTCTCTGCGGCATCGAGGGGTGCAATCAGATACTGCCCCGCAAGAAAACATTGAGCCAGACGTTCCTACTGGCGAGCAGTCTGCTTGCTTGCGCCAACTCCTTCTCCGCTTGCTCTAGTCGACCTTGATGGACGCGTAGATTTTGCGTGTGAACCACAACGAGGCACCGACGCCCACTGCTCCCGTCAGTAGTAACAGAGCGCCCGATATCATCGCCATGTAGCCAAAGTAGAGCATGGCGCCGATAACGTTTGTCACGTCGAGACGCATCCAGAAGTAGTACGTCGAGTAGAGAAACACGTAGCCGCCACACGCGCCTGATACAAAGAATGACCGCCACCACCTGTACATGGTGACACGGGTAAGGAAAAATGTCAAATATACTGCACGAGACTCATGCTTCGTTCAACAGGTCAAACGTACCAATTGTAATCTTCACCACACAGCTGGAAATAGGTGAGCACAATAGTGATCTCAGCGCACGTGTTGATCAGGATAACGAAAGCCAATAGCAAGAACCCAAATACGTAATAGTACTTGTCCGTCCATAGGGACGACAACACGAAGAACAGCTCCACAAAGATGGCACCGAACGGTAATATGCCACCCACGACCGCTGCCGACATGTGCGTCATATACCACGGCTGGGGAGGCACAGGACGCGGAATGTTGCTTGTTGCCACAGGGAACGTAGCAGGAGCAATCCTAATGTTTAAGTACATCACATTCACCACCATCGTTCGTTAGCAACGTTTTCAAATTCCTCCTCCATTCGTAACCAACGCATGCGTACTTAAATCCAAAGTAGGCTCCTGCAAACACAAGAGGCACGGAAATGCCGGTCCAGAGGAAAAAGACAAGCAGAATCGAGCCAAACGGCACAGCAGCGTCCGAGCCAGCACCCCATACGAACAGGTTCAGAAAGAAGAACAACGAAAACAGGATGCCGGGGAATACTACAGCCGTGAGCACCGTGCACATCTGCCAGCGCTTGCCCTTGAACATCTTGTACGTACGAGCTGAAGTGTATCCTGCTAACATACCCAGCAGCACAAAGCACACCAGCAGTGCAATCACTAGCTTACCACGATTCGAAGGCGCCAGGACACCCACAGCTGCAAAGAATAAAGTCACGAGCGCCATGCCGAGCAACTGGCAACCCGTGCCCACCATGACGCAAAAGAGCATCGGGTGCTTCGACGGTGGACGAAACACGTCTGCGTGCACGAGTTTCCATCCAGATTCCTCACGCTCTTCAGCGCGTTCCTCTTCTGTAGGTACACGGTTGTATCGATTGATGTCGCGATGAAGACTACGCATGAGAATCATGCCCACCATTCCGCTGAGGAAGAGCACGATCACAAGAGCGTTGATTATGGAGAACCAGTGCACCTCAAAACCACCCGAGCCAGCGTCAAAGTACACGTCCCACCGCGTGCGCCAATCACGCTCATTGTCCAGCACCCATTCGACAGAATAGGTCCAGATTACGGGCATCTTGCCACTCTTATCTTTGCGCACATACAGTGGACGCTGTGGTCCACTCGAGTGCTCGCATGCGGTCATGCGGTTGTTCTTTTCATCAAAGTTGCTAGGCGCGTACTCGAAGCTGTACGGTACGACCTGAAAATCGACAATGCGACCTTTTTCCACTGAAAAAGCAGCACCGCTTACCGGGTTATTGTTGTAGCCAATGATGACCTTCGCGTGGTTGTGCAGCTGTGGCACAACTTCCACCTCCGAGTTGAAGCTTCCCAATGGAAAGCCCACCAGCACACCCCCTTCTAGCGACATGGACGTCGCTGGAAGGTTGTCCAAGATCCAGTTGATACGGTACGAGCCCTTGATCTTGTCCTCCCACGTTGCAATAGCTTCCTCGCCATACTCTTGTTTGCACACTACTGTACATTCCTGGTCTTCCAGAAACTTGATTTCGTAAGGAGAGTTCTCAATGCGATTGGCGGTCAAGTACTCGCCCAGATTTTCCGACTTGTACTCGATTTTATCCGGCTTTAGATAAAATCAACGTCACCCACCCATAATTAGATTAAAATCCAACATAATATCCCATCTTAACTATTTTGAGACCAAAAATCAGAAAATCTTGATATTTACCTGACAAAAAGGCAATTTATAGTAGTCAAGAGGCAGCAACGTCTCGGTCGATGTGAGGCTGTTGACAAAGACAGGCAGCGCATCGCCTTTCCGGTACGTCACCATCTGTACCCCTGGCAGCGAGAAGCTCGTAGTGGAGGCTACGAGCACGGACGCCGCCAGCGCCGCGAGCTGTGGCTTGCTGGGAGGACTTGAGCCCCGCATTCTTCGACTCTTTATTTTAGTTGTGGGACAAACTACTGACGCCACTTGTTCGAACGACGGCTTAAATCCAATCGCAAATCATGGGATATACCGATATTATCACTTTGTGTCGAACAAGGGCCGGTTTTGTCATTCCTTTGTACACTGGCAAATCAATGGCTTTTTTTACTGTGGAAGGTGCAGGGTGTGATACTACGAAATGTTTGCGCGTGTCACTGCGGGACAGCCCAAGTTTAGCATAACTAAATTGTGCAACGCAACACACCGCTAGTAGTATTGGCCGCCGTCCGCAGCCGTCTTACGGAAGACAATGTAGTTTTGCTGTGCTATCGTCCCGCCTGTCCAATTTCGTGTGTCCGGGTTAGCAACGATTATCAAAATGGTGCTTCATGCTTGTTTGCAAGTGCATCCGATGATGCTTTTATCCAACAATTCAACGTCTCGGCCGAGCCCTGATAAAGATCGACCTTCCAGTCGTACCTCGATCGCCGGTATGAATGAGACTACGTGCAAACGTAATTCACAGATTGGAGGTATACATGTGCATACGAAAGCAACCTCAGTTGACGCAGTACGCTAAAACGATTACTTTGCGCTTGTGAAGAGGACTAAAGTGTACCAGACCTGTTCAAATGTGTCCCGTTTCCTGGTTACCATCGCTGGTACTATCGTGTTCAAATCACTATTCGCCCTGGTTGCTTTCCGAAGTACGGTTGTACTACGGTACTTCAGGACATAAGGACTGATAACATTCATGCCAGATACCAAGCGTCTTCGATAAGTGCTGCAACCAGGTGGAACCTATCTGCGGCAGGTGCGAGATCTCAAGCTATCACTCATACGTAACACATGACACAGCTATGTCTTTCTCTTCAGTGAACTGTTCTTGTCTAATTTTTCGTCTTCTACACCTCGTCATCATCACCATAGCAAACCGATACCCCACACGACTGTCGAAAGCGACTTCTTGGTACGGTGCTCGGCGAAGTCACAAAAACTCGTCGCATTGAGATGATGCGGTGAAAAAGGCTTTACATATACAACCTGCCAGGTAGTACTTCTAACAAGCTAGTCGGTTTTACGTGCTGTTCTTTGAGTATATCAGAATGCCGATCATCTTGATGCTGCAATAGTCAACTTTTTCTCGCGCTGCTCTGGTTCAAGTGTGACACTGCGACGTCCGCGTTTACATTGTAGACGACCCGCAATCGAAGGAAGGATATGTAATGTTACTGGCGCGTCCACCACCCGCTATGATCCCTGTGATGTTGTAGACTATAGAAATCACCCGTTCACCGCTAGCAGCGCAGATAACGCATATGCAAACTACTCCGGCTGCTTGAGAGATAATTGTACTGCACTACTCGCGAACAATGTCAACTTTTTGTGTAGATTTGGAGCATCGTAACAATATGCTTTGTATCATGGTCCCTACATGTATGTCTACTGATATGTAAGGGTATCATATGCGTCATTATAATGGTGGATGCCAATCGCCACTGCAGATAAAACTTGACAGAATGCGTGCTGTCGATACTGGTGTTCTCGCTGACGGCAATGTTAGTCGAAGCCCACTGTAACGGGGTGAATCGTTACATAACAATTTATAAGAAATTGTTAATAGAATATAACTATAAGAGTTATATTCTCAGAATATTGTCATAAGGACAAATATTCTGTAGCACTTACGAGTAGTTCCTGATTGGTTGATATAGGCCATTATATCAACCAACGAAGACGCGCCACGACAGACGCACGCAATGAGTGGTGAGCAGATAACTGATTTACACATTTGTATTTAGACATAGTTAGATGAAGATAAATAGTGATTTATTGCAGACATTAACTATTATAAATACAGTTCTACTTTTTACTCTAACCAAGTACTCGCTTCTTCTTACCGTCTTCCTCTGCACGTACCAGTGTACGTGAAGTTACGAGGCACCGCCTTATTCTGTCATCAGAATAAGTAGCTTGTACTGTCACCAGTACAAGCTTCAGGGTGCCCCGTTACACCCACCCTTTTATTGCTGAGGATGCAAGTGCATCACGTATCGATACGAGGTCCATCGTTCGCGTGATGTGACAAAAGAATGTACTAAGCTTAGTACGACTTGTATAAAGTACACATATACGTTCCGATGAATGCAACGTATATCGACGTCACGGCACACGATCGATCTTTTGTGTTTGAGTCCACGCCATTAGGAAACACGAAATGAGCGACAACTGTACCCACACGCAAACCCATGACCTGCTTCCGAATCAAACGACACCCGGTTGCCCACATGCTAAGCATGTAAGCGAATCGTACACCACAACACCTTTGCAGTCGCGCATGGCATTACTTGGGCTTCAAAAATCTGATGTGAGTCTACTTCCGGTTCCAAAAAGACTACTGATCGGCAGCGGTCTGACTACAACTTAAACTTGACCATGTCGGGTACTAATATCATGTATAATAATGGATGGTGCTTGCAATTATGCGAATAGGAAGTATTCGCATTGAAGCTACAATCTTGCTGCAATTTAAAAGCATATTCTCGTATCTGGACGATCGTATGTATGATATAAGTTGCCGCACAATCGCTAGGTGATGCTTTCGTGTGAACCAATAATATGTAGGCACATTTTCCACATTTGCAGTGAACACTGTGCGGGTCGAGTACGCGTTCATCATTGCTTAGTCGGAGAGCATATAGTCTTCGACCGCAACGTATTCATTTTAGTTCAAACTCTACAAACTAGGTATCATCTCACTGTTGCGATGCATGCAGAAAAGTGACGTTACG